GAGGAACGACGGAGGGGAAGGGGGTTCTTGTAAACTTCGGTCTGTAGGGGACTGTGAGTAACTTCTCAAAACATCGGTCTGTTAGTGGCCTATAGGGCATTTTCTTTCTATAACTACCACTCTGCAGCGGCGCATAGGGCAGTTATATTCTCTAATATATCGATGGTAGTTACGTAAAGATATGTCTCAAGCAGCTCATAGCTTCTGTTGTTTCAGAATACCAGCTTGTGCTACACATAGGACGAGCGACTGCTTCTTGCAATAATAGACTTTGAGCGGCTCTTAGGACAATTTTTGAAAGTTGGTTTGAAGATTCGAAGGACAATTTCTTCTTGATATCGGTCTGTGTGCGTCCATAGGGCAACCTTTTCTGGAAAAGGTCCGTAAGCGGCTCGTAGGATCATTCTACATGAGCAGTTCTTTTTTGAAAATATCTTTTTTGAAAAATACCAGTCTGTAAGCAGCCCACAGTGTAGTCTTGTCAAAATGAGGATCTGTAAGCGGCCCATAGGGCATTTCCTTCTAATGACTAATTACCGTCCGCGGGCGGACCATAGGGCAATTTTTCCGTCTGTAAGCAGCTTAAAGGCTTCCCCGCAATATTCGATTTGTAGGGGGGGGGGATTGTATGGCAGACTTATCCCAGAATACGATATCATTTGTAGGGGTATAAAGGGCACTATTTTCTCAGATTACCGCTCTGTAGGAGGCCTGTAGGAAAGTTTTTCTTGAAGTATTCTTCTCCAGGATCGTGGGGCAGCTCTCGCATATACCGCTCTGAAGGCGCGGAGCAGTACGTATTTGCAAAAAGTGGTTTATAGGCGACGCATAAGGCATGAGAATACAATGCTTGTTTTCGCTGCCGGAATTTTTCGGGAACTGAGGTACTTTCTGAGTGTTTAGCTGAGTGTAGACTACATCGTCGCTTTGAGAGTCGACTGCTTGGTGACTCTATTGAGATTGGTGCAAACATTTGACCCAAAGAAAATTTTTAAAAGAGAGTCAAAAGGTATCGAATAATCAGCAAAGAGGATTCTCACAATCAGAAGAGTCAAAAGTCATTCATTACTCGGTTTCAGTTGCCCAGAACCCTAAAAAAGTATAAAACGTAGAGGTTATTGTGGTGATGACTATATGTACCCTAGCATACTTGCAAGCGGCCCTTAGGGCCGCTAGTATGAGAAAATACTCTGCAAGAAATTTTGAATGTACAAACACATTGAGTATCTCGATGAGGCAATTCTATGTCTAAGGCTAAGGCATAATTCACGCGTTCTCGGTTCGCTGCGGGATTTAGCACTGCAGCGACGCCCCATAGTTTGCAGTAAGGCGCTTTGCTTGGGCCACAACTATTGTTTCCGCGATAAGATACACACTTACAGTCCGCCTCAATCGAAATCAGGTCAAGCTGAATTTGCGCGCTCGCAGCGCTAGGATTTGCGCGGGTAGAGGACTATATGTCGCCGAAAAAGGGCGGTCCCCGCGGTCATTTGCGACAAATGCGCACCCGTATACATGCGCGGACATGTGTTCCTGCAGGGAATCCGCGCGAGACTCTTCCAAATTCGGCGACATATAGTCCTCCACCTATTTGCGCTGCATACGCGCGCTGTCGCAGAGAGCGAAGAGATTGAGGACAGCCATACTAGCTTGCCGTAGACGTGACGCAATACCCTCGCGACACAGACTCCCGCCACGCCAATTTTGGCCCGGATGAGATTGGGCAGATGTTTGCATTTGGGGCCCACGCATGGTCAATCTGTAGATATCTGACAGTGAATCGCGTGGATGTCGCGATCACGAGGAATCGCGGGCAATTTTCCTTAGGCCTAAGGCCTATCAAGACATAAGAGCTCAAGACATATCTCCAGCGATCCCGTCGTTACGATTTTCGATTACCGCGACTAGACTGCCTGGGCGACAGTTCACTGCGTGCAAATCGTTCATCGCTTGATCACCTGACATACCCAAAGCGATTTCGTAGACGCTCACACATCACACCGCATTATACGCACTTTTGAAAAATTTGCGCTAATGTATCTGAAGTGCATTTATTTAAAGAAATTCGAACAAAATGTGGCGCCATACGCTTTCAGAAAACATTACATCAGACGAGGAAGGGTTTGGACTCACTCATCCTAGTATTTACCAACGCAAGTTAGCATCTGCAACGAAATCGGCTACTAGTTCATGCTTTTGAGTACTTTCAACCCAGATAAGCATACGACATATGACCATACGTTACTTCTTAACAGTAAAGCCATGCTTTCTGCTTTGCAAAAAAAAAAAACTCTGGGTAGGCATATCTCAACAACGAGTGCTGCGCGAGTTGTCTGCCGTTACGCGAACGATTACACATACATACCTGAGCAACCGAGATTGCAAATTCTATTCTGCTTCAGAAATTCGTAGCAAGAATATTCAAGATTCGGTCACCATTTACTTGTTATTGATAAACAAGAACAAGAGAAGATTAGTGCACATAAGGAGGACAGTAACTGGTAACAAGAGGATGAGGTGACATATGGGAAGCATTTCATATTAGGTATATACTTCGTATGCGTTGTTTTCAATGATTAATAGTATGAATGTTGATGACCATTCTTCTCTTAAGCAGAGAAGAAGCGCTTGTATGAGATGGTACAGTTCTAGATGGGATTCGCATTTGCAAAGAAATACAAAACATCTTACAAAAAAGAAGCCATTTGGGCGATTTGCTCATCGCTGATGCAGACTTAGCGATGGCGACATCGCTGACTTTTAGCGAAGTCGCAACCATGTCCCTGCTGAGAGGTATGAATGTCCAAAAATGGCCCGCGATTCGTCGCACCACCTAACACAGATGTGGCGAAACCACGCAGTTAGACTACACAGTTGCGATTTCCACCTCGACATATGCCTGAGTTGGAAATCGCGACGCGACTGGATCGCGGGAGGTATGCCCTAGGCCTCAGACCTAAGGCATATCTCACGCGATTTTCGTTGCGCGATCTGGTACTGCAACGCTTCACAATTACACGTAAATGCACTATGCTTGGACCACATCTGTTAGAATTGCGATAACTTGCAAAAGCTACGCGCCAACGCATTTGACACTAGCGCATGACAAATGACATCTGGCAGAACGCAAAGTCGCGTGGATGAACAGCCAAATCATTTCGTATGATCATGTGTGTCACTGCGCACACTGTCCATCTTTGGCGTTCCCATCCTGGGTTCTTGGAGCAGACAACCTTTGATTTGAGCGTTTTCGATATGCCCTTTATGTTTTCTTTCCTTTTTGGGCACTAATCACCCCAGAGTGATGTAAGCAATAACAACTGGTCATTCTCCTGCTTTTTGCGATTGCAAATCCAGGATGAGGACGCCAAAGATGAACAGTGTGTGCAGTGACACACATGATCATATGAGATGATTCGACTGTAGCGATTTGACGAAATCTCGGGGAGTGTGACCTAGGATTTAGGCTGAGAAGATATTCGTCAGCGCGTCTCGCTGAGATTGCACCACGCAGGGCTGCCGTCGTTGTACAGACTGTAAGACCCAGACATACTGCACGCCATTTCAGTCGCCATGCTATGTGGCAGTTACAGATGTTCTCAAATCCAGCACTGACACCTACAAATACATAACGTGTTCAAAGTTCGTAACCGATATGCTGTACATCCAAAATTGTAAAGTTAAGAAACAGAGTGCGCTTACGATGAATGATGAACATTTGGAATGTACAAAATGCGCTCACGTCAAACCATGAACAAGTGTAGCATTGGCAAATCGCATCGCGACTGAAGTTACGTGAAGTACTCCTGAGTCCTGAATAAGGACTGCGCTATTCTGCCAAAGGCAGAAAATAAAAGTATGTAGCGGGAGTGAAGTTGCCACAGTTGCTGGCAAAGCGGCAGATAGAGATTCACGAGGTCCGTGTTCATACTGCCAGATTTCTGTGACCAATACTGGAACGTCTAACAATGCGGAAACAATTACATTGAAGCACATTGGCTTTCTCCACAGAATCGAACAACGCCACTGGTCCCTGAGTCATGTTCATAGCGAGCAAAAGGTGTGGCATACGACGCCCCCACCTCACCCCCTGAATTCTGTTTCAATAGACCCCTGCATTATCGCTTACCCACCGTATGCATAACAAACCTTATACCTGCATACCTTTATCAAACTATTATCATAACAAAGTGAGTGTGGCGCATGCCAAAAAGATGGTAAAAATGACCGGTTATCCCCCATAATAATTCTTATCGATAAATTTGGTAAGCTCTACTAACTATCTTACATGAAACTATGGCAAGATTACAGTTCTAAAGGTGTCTAGGCAAACCTGCGTGTCTAACAGGAGAAGGATCTTTAGCCGAAGTGGCCTTTCCAAATGAAACCACATCTTCTTGAAGATATCGAACGCTGATTCCAAATCTATTTCCTTTATCTGTTGGGCGCCTCTGGACAAGATATGAGAGCTTTTGTAGGGAGATTTTATCATTTACAGAAGACTCTCGTGAACTCAGTTGAAACGCTGATGACTGCCATTTGCCCGTCACCTTCATGATTCTGAGGTTTGCCCATCGTTCCTCATTTAGTACGATGCTGTAGAATCAGACATCTTTACTGACAATGAATATACAAAGAAATACAAAGAAATATAATATACAAAGAAATGTTAACCCGAATTTTGTTGTAGTCACAGCTTTCAGAAGAGCAGCAATAAAAGTTAATTCTACAGGGGGAGAAAGGTAACAAAATAGACTATATAGCGTCTCAATCGTACAGTAAGGTTCATCAAAATCTCAAAATATTTATATTTATGAACTAAATTGCTGATGGAGAGAGAGAAATGGATTCTTTGTGAATTTGAAGATTTGGAAAATGCAAGGCAGAGAAATTGAAGGAACGATTTTCCTAGGTAATATGAGCTAGATGAACTCACTCCGAGTCAAAAATATCTATATACAGAGAAAAATACGCAATTCAGTGAAAAGAAAATATCTGAATTAGTGTTTTCGGTGTCGGGCTAACATCCTACTGCGAAAACAGAATAGTTCAGAGTCAGGACAAACTCACAAACTGCGTAGTTTGCTCATACTGACTATTCGATTATAGACAGCAAGCACAGGTAGAATTGCTTTTTGTTTTTTAGTAAAGCAGTCATCGCAGTCTTTTTATTGTAAGCGATATTGCGGACGAAGGCACAGGAAAGGGATAGAATGCAGCTTCTGATTCAAAACCTGAGCTTCACTGAGAATTTTTACTTTTTCTTTCTCAACCTGAAGAAATATGACACTCATAAAGCTTGCTCTTTCCTGTGCCCTAGTCGATTTCGCTCACACTTATAACATAGACTCACTTCACAAACTTAGGATGATCGTACCTAATTCAAAAATGACTAGAAATGATGAAATGCTTGAATTCAAGGCAAAGATAACAGTACCGAAATGATGAAACTGATGGAATAGCATTGTGATTTAGGATGAGATTTGTTAGACTCGAGGAGGCAGTATACTCCGACAAACGTATGGAAAGGCACAGAAGACAATTTTTTGGTGACTATGAAGTGCGTATTTGATGCTAGAAATTACCCGTACTAAATTAGGAGTATGGAGCGCTTACTTAGATCTTGGAGGGATTATAAGCTCCGATGAATCGCCCCACAAAGAGTTAAAAAATTGCCATGAGTGAAATAAAGCTCCAGAGCACCCGCTTCGACGCTGAGCTTACGTGTCCTTATCACAGTCCGGATAACATTTTCCGACATCCGGCATAGTTAGATACATGAGATTTTTTGCTGGATTTGGGTATGTCTTTCCAGAATACTTCTCGAAATTGGCCAACTCGGTTCTGAAACAGATGTTTCTTGGTTGTTGCTCACTATTGTATAGAGCCATTTACCTGATTATACTGACATTCACATGCTTTGTGGGTATCCAGTCCCAGCCATTTGTCCCCACTCCACATTTCGTGGGATCGAGATTTTGCTTAAATGGGCTTTCCCATCCGTCCTTGCCCACAGTTTGAACCTTCCACCCGTGCAGCATGAAATCAGCATCACACCACCTAGAAAGTTCTGTCATCTTCGCATTCATCACTCCTTTTAGGGACTTACTTATCAGTTGTGATGAATCCATCACGCACCCATCCATGTGCCCTCCTATAGATCCTAAGCTTTCCTGGCCACATCCGCGCTGCACCGAGTGCTTGCTTCACGCATGACACATAGGCCAGATAGGTATCGTAATTTGTGGCATTGTGCCAAACTGTATCGCAATTTTCAGCTTCCTGCTTTGCATCAGGCATGACCGTCGTCAGGATTTGAATCTAAAACTGTAGCGTTAGCATGGAAAGATAATTTTGCTTGATTTCGTTCTAACTGATAAACCGAAAAAGGGAACCATTAGTTCCACAAAGCTGATTGTAAGCTTATTGTTGAAGTTTCGAGAGTACATATGTTCATGATGTTTCTGGAGGAAAAAATTTGGCAAGACCCGGCATTTACAGCTGTTTCTTTTTTTTGCAAAAACGTACAGCAAGTGAGTACCTGAATGCCTAATGTGTTATGTCTATGCTTGAACGAATGAGATGCGCGCAGGTTTTTTTAAAAAGGATCAGTATCGTGAACTAGTCAAATACCTCGATTTTGCCTTGAAACTTAGTGAGATTTGTAGATCATGCAAGTAAATGAAAGCCATGTTGCACAGCATGCTTCGAAGTATCGACTACTTGCCAACTCCGTGAAAAAATAAAAATCTTGTTTTGGACAGATGTGATAAGGTGACCTTGATAGAATTCGGGGATTATTTTTTTTCTCCATTCCCATGAGCAGGTGAACACATATATAGATATATTTTGTTGTAAAAAATGTTTTCTAACTCTAAATGTGAATTTAAAGCCCAGGCTGGGCACAGCAGCTATTAGATTTACTGAAAATTTTTCTGCACTCAAGCTGTAAATTCGTCAGCGAGGGTACAAAAAATTTGCGAAATATACCTGCAAGACACCATTATCTGCACCATTCCAATTCGACGGCTGAGTAAATTCCCAGTCTCCCCAGGCTTTGAGGAACTTCTTACCAAATTCTGAGTTTCTTACCTATAACAACTAATGCAAATGTTTGTCTCTCAAAAAGTGACTAAATATACCAAGTAGTTTCCGCTTGCGATCTCCCAATTGAAGAAACGCTCGTAAAATAGCAAGTCAACTCTATCGTCAATCCATTCCTCGATGCAGTGGTTGGGATTAACGACGCCTGAAAATAGTATGGTTTACCCCGCACTCTACGTTGCGCCAGAAAATTTTGGAATTAAGGCAAGAGTTTCGCTACTCGTCTCATAATCTGCAAACTGGAACGAGATTTTCACTCTCAGATGCAGTAGAAGCAGATCTTATCGAAAAATATCAAGGTGGAACCAAAAGACGCAAAAATTGTTAAGCTCACCTGTATCAGCATCCAACACAAGCATCCAGTCAGTGTCAGCCAAATATTCCGCAGCGGCGCAATGCTTTTTGAAGAAAAGCTGCAAGTTAGCATAGAGTAGAACAAAATCTAAGTAGAGTTATGGAAAACAAATGTTCCAAACTTAACTACTTTTTCTGGTGCAACCAGTTTTGACAGATTTTTGCGCACTGATCCAAAACATGCAAGGAATTCTTTTAATTGCTAAATGTTCAATGGCTAAGTAGGAAAGGCTACTCTCATTTGGCCATATTGAATTTTGAGTTTCCATCTATAGTGTTACCAAAGTGATGAAGAGAGCGCGTGGAACAATGTGGGCGATTAATGGCAGCATTAGAAACGTCGAATAGGTGTCGAAAACGAAATTCTGGATGGACTTCTAAAAGAAGAATCAGCTTTTCGAATTGTGTCAGATTGTTTAGAAGTGAGCGAAAAAAACTGCCTTGTTACGAGTAGTCTACAAAAATCATAGTTCGGTTGTTGAGAATCTCTGATAAGTTCCTCCTCCAGTTTTTTATGCTTTCATATTGCTAAAACTAAAAACAAAGGAACATTGTGGATTCTTGAACGTCAAACAATAGACTTGCGTAATCTAAGACTTAACAAAAAAAGGGAATGATGCTCAAAAGTAGATAATAAATTCCAGCTGCCGGAAATTTTCCTGCATTTAACCCAGAAATTCGCGGGGTACATTGCTATGTTTGTTTCGACGTTCAAATTTTTTCTAGGATCTCGACCTAGAACGGCAAATTTTAGCTGCAAATAAAAAAAGATTTGCAAGTGAGGACTCTGATACTGCTAAGAATTTGGGTCAATCAAAGTGTCTTCGTCAATGTAGATACATTCTTCCACAATTCAACGCTTAATTCGTGTAATTGCACTAACTTCCTGGGCAGATAGATGACCCAATATACAGGTAGCTATTACTTTCTATGTCGTGCAATCGTCCTCGTTTTATTCTTCGCCTTTTGTACCGCTTCTCATATTATGAGTGGCTCTAACACCACCACGTAGATGAACGAAGACCACAAAAGGCGCCGGCTCCGCAGACAACTGATACTTTCGCCTGCGTGCCCATAGCGCGCGATGATCCGCAGTCCGCGGAAAGGGGGGGAGGGGGGGGGGGGACATTAGTAGACGGTCGTTCCTCTACCTCTACTAATGAGAGCGACTGCACATTTTCTGACATTCCTCGTTAGCTCAAATGGATAGAAGGCTCAAAGTGTAGATAAACTTCAAGTTTACCTGTTTATTTTTAGCGCAATTCTTTTTCACACGCGGATCTTTATCGAGATCTACCATTATAACGGTGTAGTTGACGGTCTTCAGATAGCACTGGAGAGATTGCTGAGCAACTCGGTAATGGCTAAAAAAGCACTTCATTAGTCCCATTTTCAGAATTTTTTGTTTTTCAAGAGAATGACTGCTTTGTTCTGGATATTAGAGTAGATCGCGATCGTCATGATAATGAATATTCTAGATTGCGTGCAAAAACCATATTGATGCACAGCTTTTCCACGCAATATATAAATGGGATTTAGGCCTTCGCATGATTGATGGCCTTTTCGCAAGTTTTCATAATGCCACAACTTTTCAGAAAGTCGGTCTGTTCTTCCAAAGAAGGTTAAAGAGCGTCCAGGCAAATCTGGACATATGGGGATCTCGCGTGAATAAAATTTTGGGGCCCTAACTAAGCCACTGCCTAACCTGAAGCTCAGGTAGTGCTCTAACGGCTCAGATATTCCCCTCAAAGGTGGACCCAGCATGGTATTTCGCATGGATTCATGGTGCAACCCATCAGTATCGCGTGGGTCCTCGCACGAAATACGATCCTGGGATCCATTTGGAGGCGTATATCTCATTGTCAGCCGTAGGTGAGTCACCTGCGCTGCCGCTTGGGGCAGTGCCTTAGTTAGGGTCCCAAAATTACATTCCATGTAACCCCTAGATCCAGATTTGCGTGGACGCTGCCTCTAAGAGAAGGTTTGATTGTCATCAACATCTTGCTAGTATGAAAACCTTGAAAGGCGATGTGATAAATGTAGGTTTAAAAAATCTCAAATTTTCTGTACTCCATTTTTGTGTACTGAGAATTATTCAAAAGATTCTACGTTTGGAGTTCCCATCGCGGTCAAGTATACAGAAAGCGATCTAACACGTTTCGGACCGGTGCTGCACATGGTGCAGCACGCGCATTCGAAGGACCTTTTCAACGTTTCCAGGAGGTTTTCCTTTTGTCCAAGGTTATCAAGTCAAAGGCCTAAGCTTCTACTTTTCAGATGACTCTGTAAAGTTGTGCAGCCGATATTTGTTTAGAAGATATGAGCACAAATCGAACAGCAGTTGCAACGAAGTGCGGCAACGCGAACGACGCGTGCGACGTCGCAACTTTTCTTAGCTTTGAATACGAAGGGAAAAACCGTAGTTCTAATAGTAATGTATATCGTGTACAACATAGATGATACAATTAGAAACTAAGTTCTTGTTCCTATCTTTCAGGAAAGTACAGAAGCCTTCTCAGGCGACAAAATTCAAACACTTCGAATTCACTCAGAACTCTGGGTATGAACCTTATCTGACATGTTGATTACAGATGTAGCACACAGTATACGAATTAAGGTCCTTTTGTTGGCTAACGGGTAAAAGTACCCTCTTTTTCGCCGCGCGCGATTTCGCGGTCCGAAACGTGTTAATGAAGCGTGTCAGTTTTGTGAACGATTTGCTGTGTTTACTCCCATTTTCAACATTTACGGGGTTAGGAGTTTGCAAAAAGTCTAAAAAGCACAAAATTATTTTGTTGGACGCGGTTGGTGCCAGTTTCCTTCATATAAAAAGTCTTTTTCACTCTCTCCACAAAAAATTCTAGGACAGCAACCTATATGGCCTCCCACCTCCCTTAGTTTGTGCTTCAGTAATTGGACAAGATTTAAACAGCTATGCATGAGAGGGCAGTGATTACTGGAAGCGAATGAAATACTGAAATACTTACGTTTCCATAGATGACTCGACGTAAGCGATAAATATTGATACTTTGCCAAACAGAGTGGGGCACGGTCCCATGTCCTTCCTTGGTGGGTACGGTGTGCGAGGCGCGATCCTGAGCAAAGTACTTTTGCTTTGACGGACTGAAGATGCAATTCCCACTTACAATGTATTTGACTTCCGTTCTCTACTCATTTCTTGAGCCCGCTTTTGTAATACTGTTTCCTGTAATAATAGAAGATGAACCATCTTATTGTCTGGACAAAGTTTGCTCGAAAACGTTCGAATTTTCTATGATTCACGCATCTTTATACAAAAAGAATAATTCTATTTTTTTAGCTGCTTTCAGAGCTGCCCGTGCCAGCTGTTCCAGCCTCCAAGCGCCATGCTAGCGGCCTTCGACCAATCAACGCGAAAACCATGCCAGCACCGGGCCGGAATCTTTGGAGGCTCACTAAGAGACGAGGTTCTGCAGGATATATTTTGCACTGCCTGAGTGTTTTTTGGGAGAAAAAATTACATTTTTTGATAATTATTCACACAGTAACTACTCCGAAATTTGTTCTTATGAACGAAAAAGAAACTTGAATTATGCTTATCTGAGAAGAGAGGCTAGCAAGAGAGTTACACATCAAAAGAATAAGACCTATTCAAACTCACCAGGTCCACTGCTCGCATATAAATTGTCCCTGGTGTGAGTCGAGGTAAGAATAAGATGACAGTGGCAATACAGGTGAAAAAGATCAAGGTATTTATCCAAAAATGCCACGAACGCAGTCGACCACTGTATAACCACATTGTGACTGAAATGAAGAGAGTCAAAGATTCTTTTCTGGATTGGTAAATCATGAAGTTTTCAAAAATGAAATAAAATATAAATAGCTAAACATTGGCGATACTGAAGAATTTGAATGACGTCTGAACAACGTTACCATCACTCAACGAAACGGAGTGACGTTATTTAGTGTTCTCACAAAAAATTCTGAACTGTCTTCAATCTTGGCTACGGTTACACTTTGGAAGCGTTATCATTTCAATTTTATTACTTACTCGTCTCGGTGTGCATTGATTGCAACAGACTTAAATTCTTCCTGATGCGATGCACGTTAATTTACTTGAAACAGTTTGGGATTAGGGATTGAGCTGTGATTACTGAGAAAATGAGAACTATGAAATGCAACTTCTATGCAAATATACATGAAAAGAGCTTTTTCGAAATAATTTTTATTCACTGATTTTTCAAGCATTCGTTAAGAACAGCACACAAATAATTTTGAAAAGCTCTGATGTGAAACGGACGATGTTAAAGAGCATCTCTCAGAATTGACTTCCATAAACTTGCAACGCGTAGAGGAGTATTCATACGGAGTAATAAAATAAGTAGAATACATCACTCATTGCATTTTCGGATATGAGAAAAAGTGTCATACAAAAGTATTATTAGTCTTAATGGGATGAGGAGTCAATTATGTATGATATATGATGCTATATGTATGCACTAAACACCTGATACCAAGTATATTCGCATAATGCATCTCTAAGCACTGGTGTTGCTGTCTCAGTTGTGAATACAAGAAGTTTCTGTAAACAAAAACCGTCGCAGCGCGAGACAATGGAAAATTCAGTAAACGATGAAAGCGCATGAGTTGTTCAAACATAGACACACTGTACAAATTATATCGGCTTTAGAGGTAATCCCAAAAAAAAGTTCGAAAACTGCTCATGCCATCGATAATTGGGATCCAACAGTCCCGCAAATCTGTTGTCCCATAAGCACCAATCAACTTGCGGCTGCACTTAATAGCCCATCATTAGTACAGTGACGTATATATATAAAGCTGATTCAATTTTCGCATACCTTTGGATTCAAAAGGTTCGCTTCACAAGCCTTACACGTACAAGTTTTGTAATACTTGTATACTAGAGCCTTATTTCAATGTTTACGCATCTTATCTGCTAAAAGAATGGGATTACAAAGGCTCCAGAAAGTATATTATAAAGAGACGTATAAACCAGTTGACGCGATTTCATTAGGTTGATGTGCAAGTCTTACACCAATAAATACTAAAAATTCACTTAAGAAATGTCAAGCAATGCAGACGAGATGATATAGTTTTTGAAACCTACAGCAAGTGCTCTATTCATCTTTGCATATTATATAATAAATTTTGTTTGAAACAAAACCGAAATGTTGACCCGAAAATTTCGAAAATTATGACACATAATAGAAACATCCAATCGCCACAAAATTCCTGCAGTCAAAAAAATGTCGTAAAACATAATCAATAAAGAATTTAGGTTTTTTCATACTTCCTAGCATCTAAAGACCAAAACGAAAAAAATTGTGCTTTGCTGTTTCTCTTTATCACTTTGTATCACGAGATATGCCATATGGCGTCAAATTAAGCCTTTATTAAAAGCCCAAATCCTACAACTTTCAAAAACTTTGGTGCAAGACTTATGCAGTCTAATATAAGCACAACTACCTGATATACACAAAACATGAACTAGAATTATACAGTAAGCATCGGTTCGACCAAGTCTAATTAAGAACTCATAGAACAAGCGAGTAACGTGAATAATAGAACTAGATTCTGGAGAGGGATCGTTAGTGAATCTTATGTTCCATGCTTGGAAGAGACAAAGAGCTAACATCACACAATCAACTGTACGTGTGAAGTGATTTGAATGATAAGCTCTTGAGCGAAAATAGTGATGCCTGAGTAGCAAAGTATTTTGCTTTGGATCAAGCCTCAAAGGACTTCTGACATCTGATTGTGAGAAAAATGGCGATTCCCTTCCTATTCCAGTTGACATTTGAAAAAATCTGGTCATTTTGCTTTGGCAGGAACGCTGGGATAAAGTGCCAAATTTGATGCATCTGTCTGGGAGGCGTGCAAGTGGTACCCGGGCAGCCGACTGCTGCCGGAGCCAGCTGCCAGAGCTGCCGGCAAAACCGCTGCAGATGGTACAGTAATTACGCTCGTCGTCTACAACTCTTGCCGAGAGGTTTTCTCGTACCTCGTCCTTTGAGGTGCCAAATAAGCCTCAGGAAAGCGTGATATCCTTCTTTTTATATTATTTTGAACAGCAAAAAATTTCATGTTTTTTGACAAACAAACATGCAAATAAACAAAGGAAACAGAGGAGGGTTTTTCTAGAGGAAAACGATCACAAAATCAAACCACTTAAAAACTCAAAGGAAGCAGAAGCTGAAAAAATTAGGAATATTCAAATTTCTAGGAATTCTTTTTCTCGCTTTTACGTCGAAGAATGGAGGAAAACAGTTACAGGAAAATGTCATGGATATAACGGTAAGAAATAGGAAATCAAACAGTTTTTTCTGTTACAAAAGCAAAGTACAATAAATATCCATCACGCTGTAGTTTTGAGGATCCTTTATTTTCCAATAAAGAATTCTTATCGTTAGAAATCAAGTTTACTTCTCCAAGAACACTTCCAGTCGAAATGCGGTTTTGTTAAAGGGTTATCAGAGGTGGTTCTTTTAATTGTAAACTTTTATTATTTGCAGTGAGTTCTGAATTTCGAATTTTTTTCATTACTATTTTTTATTTTCTCAAAATACCTAGAGAATGTGTAGATTAAAATAGTACATACATACTTCTCGTGATCATTTTCCTTCAAAAAAGCTCTCCCCTGTTTGCCTTTGTTTATCTGCATAATTCTCAAAAAACATGAACTTTCTGCCGTTTAAAGTAATAAAGATAACGAGGATATCACGCTTTCCTGAGGCTTATTTGGCACCTCAGAACGACGAGGTGCGAGAAAACCTCTCGGCAATGGTTTTAGACGACGAGCGTGATTACTATACCATCTGAGCGGTTTTGAAGGCAGCTCTGGCGGCTGGCTGCGGCAGCAGTCGGCTGCCTGGGTACCACTTGCTACGCACCCCATCTGTCTCAATCCAGTCATTTATGCGACTTCACAAGTTTTTTGCTGCAAAAGTCTCAGAAAGATACATAAAAAACCTATTGCGCAAATCCCAATCTCTGCCTTGAGTAAAAATGCCTTCCGCAACACTTAGTAGCCAAGTCTTAAGTGTATTGGTTTCAAGAGGTATAGAGTAGAAAATAACTCAAAGGTGTTTTTGTATGGAAAACTATGGTACGAAATTTTTTTTATCCTGGCATCTTCCCGGTTACTCGGGGTCTGCAACTCTTGTAAGTCTCTTCTATACGCGGTCAAGGGTTTGTTCTTCTTCGGTCTTAAGTCCTCTCAGATCCGCTTTGATTTTATACAACCATCTCATCTTCGGCCTCCCTCTGGGTCTCTTTCCTGGAACATCTTCTGACCTGGCCGATTTGGTAATGAGGCCTTCTTCTCTTCTTTTCACGTGGCCGTACCATCGGAGTGTTTTCTCTTGCATCTTCTTGGTTATTGGAGCTACCTTCATCGTAGCTCGTACGGTGTCATTGGTGATGCGGTCCAGCATGGTGAGACCCATCATCCATCGAAGCATTCTTGTCTCCATCACACTCATCTTTCGTACGTCTTTGCGCGTGCATGGCCAACATTCGCTACCTTGTAGAGCGGTAGGCCGAACCATTGTGCGATACATCTGCGTCTTCGGGTGTAGCGGCATCCGTCTGTCACACATGATTTATTCCTGTGAGGTTTCTTAACTTCAACCAAGCTGCGCTTATTCTGGCGGATATCTCGTCCTGTATCGTGCCATTGGATGTGATGTGACTTCCTAGATACTTGAAGGCCGTGGTCTTCTTAATCGGCGTGTCTTCGATCTGCATTGCTCCGGGTGTTTGGACTCCCAGTTTCATGTACTCTGTCTTCAGAATATTTATCTTCAGGCCATGTTACTTCAGCTGGGTTGTCCACATCTGCACGTCCGCTTCCAACTCATTTCTGCTTCTTGCCACCAGGATCACATCATCTGCGTACATGATAGCCCATGGTGGTCGGCAGATGAAGTCTCTGACTATTGCATCGACAGCTGTAATGAACTCTAGGGGGGAGAGTAGGGATCCTTGGTGTACAGTAACGAAAAGATAGGTGATTCGATCGATAATGTAAATCTAAGTTGAAGCCTCCTCTACAATGGTACTTGACTGGCAAAAATAAACCCATTGGGAAGAGAGATATTGACGATTGGAAAGTGTGTACTTACTTTTGGGACACCCTGTATTCTCCGTCCATCAATTTCATCTTCTCAAAGTTTGACTAATTTTCAAAAATTTCATTCCAAACTTGCGGAAAGGTTAAGTATGGATCAAATAGACTTCTCGGATGCAAGGCAATATTCTTAGATTCTCCTAATCTGCTGTCTTTAGCTTCAAGAAATCATTTCTTCGGAGGTCTCGATTTTTGTAACAGACGTAAACGTGGCACTTGTAATCTGAAACGGGTATAATGTAGCCGAAGGTTTGCTCTACGTAATGGTTACCAGCGCTCTTCAAAAACCTCAGATAAAAATTTGAATTCAGGAAAGATCTGACCTCAAAATAAAAAATTTAAGAATTCAGGGAGATATGGCATTACCACTGAGCTTCAAAAACCCATGGCGATGACACTACAAAGACGGGTAGGATCGATCGGATAGATCGGAGAGCAAATATAGCAGAAAGAGGACAAAAATCTAAATCAAATAGTACCGTCGCCCATGGGTTTGTGTTCTATGAGTTTTAGTGAGCGATGAAAAAAACGGACAAAACCTTCGGGGCATCCTAATACAATGGAAATCAACAATTGTGCATTTTTGTGGAAATCATACAAGAGTTTTCTAGAAGAAATTTTTTTCGAAATTCACACCAAATTAGGATACCCACTT